CTCTTGTATATGTTATACATATAGATATATATATATATATATATATATATATAAATATATTAGGTCCACAAATAAATCCGCTAGCTTTTAGTATCTTGTTCCTTAAAGTCTATCTAATTGCATTCAATTCTGGGTATACGTAACCTGGAGATTGATGCTTGTACGGGCGCGTTCGGCATGCATTAAAATGTAAAGAGATGGATTTCAAGCTGGGAGTGAAAATGCAAAAGACTATGAAACAATTAAAAGTATTTTGGGAGATTTCGGGCAAAAGATGGTTGTCTTGGAAACGATCAAATTCGCATAAATCCGTTTGTTTTGAGGAAGAAAAACCCCAAGATATTATCTCCAACTTGGACTGGGAATTTCTTCAGCATGCGGATTATTCTCTACACCTGTCTAACTCGGACTATCACTTGTGCAGGTCGGTGCAACTCTATTTAGCAAAACAGCAACTCTGCAAAGATGAAGATATGCGAAAATTATCCATTGATTAGATCACCTCGGAACCGCAAAGTTTTCACTCGATAATGGACGTAAGTACTTTCGAGTGCTTAGCTTCCCAACAACTATGTGTTTCAATAAATTCGAATTCTATTAAAGAAAAAACGTCGAAGATTTGTTTATAGACCTAATATAATTTGTTGTTGTTTATTATTTAAAAAAATTTTTTTGTTGTTTTGAAGTTCAGGTTTTTGTGATCATACGCAAGTACGTATTATATAATGCACTTAATTTAAATTTTTCAAGTTTCACTAATAAATATTAACGGAATGAAAAAAGCTTTTTGTTATTAAATGGATTTATGATTAAAGTCCTTAAAAAAAAAATATAAAAAAAAAAATAATAATAGTAATCGCAGTATGTTCACTTTGACTTTTACTACAAATACAATTATATTGAACGCTTCAATCACCGCCAGTAGACGGTTTTGCGGAATTAATTAATTAAATAGGAATATTTAATACTAAATACTTAATATTTCGTGTATTGACTTTTAATAAAAATACTTTCAAAAAGTATTCTCTCATCTTTCTATACCCATCACCGTACGGGATGAGGAATATATTGTTTGCGTCGGAATGTTTGCCATAAGCGAAGAGAAACTTTAGAGACCATATAAATTATACATATACTATAATTAAGTATGGCCGTCTGTCCATCTGACTGTCCATCTATGCAATGTCTACGATAAATATTTTCCTGGTCGCACAGGGCGAACAATCGACTTCAAATAGGAATATACACACAATGAAACATTTGCATTCAAATGAAAAAAAAAATCGGTCATACCTCCTGCTCAATATTCTAGAATATTGAAATTTCATTCTTTTGTCAAAACGTTTGGAGCATTCAGAAAAGAACTTTGGAGAGCCTATAAAGTCTGCATACTATCAAGAATCAAATCTGAATGTTTCCAGACTCGCATTTCCGTCCGTGTGTCCATCTTTCTGTTGGATGCCATGGTCGCACAAATGCAGACATACGACATAAATTCCTAGTCTTAGTCTAAGATAATGAAAAGAAACCAGCCACGCCCACCCAATATTAAAAAATGAATGAAATTTCGATTTTTCCTTTTTCATAGTCACACTTAAGAAAAACGATGATCGGTATGGGGGATTGTTGATATTAAAAAAAAAAGAAAAAAAGATTGTTTTTCTTTACTTTAACGCGCTCCGATGGCTCTTCTTCACTCCTATTGCATTCTATTACTGTGTACATTAGAATAAGTTCAGCTATTGTTCTCTTTAGAAAATTTCCAAATATCTTACACAAAATCTATTAAATTTTCTATATATCGCATATATTTATTCTTGAGTGTAAGTTCGTTCCATTTATTGCATCCAGGCATTAACTAAAACAGAATAATTCGAAATCCAATAACACATACAAGCATTTATATGTATATAGATCTTCTCTTGTCAGTCATTGCATCGTTCACTTATTCGACTGGATTTTTTTTTTTTCGTTTCTCGATTGAAAGTAATCGTCACGTATTATCAAGAACATGCATTCCTGTCATGCTTCTTAAGTCGTTGGTTGGTTGTTTTCGAAAAAAAAAAACAAAAAAACAAAAAAAAACTTTTCTTTTTTTTTGTCGTTCATTTTCGTTGTACGTTTTTCGTCATTTTAATTTTGATTTTTTCTTTTGGTTAAAATCGAAATATTTTTCCCGTTTTAAACATTATTTAACACCAAAAACAGCATATAAATGCCTTCGATGTATGTGAGTTTCTTGTAAATTTATTGTTAATTATTTATGTATGAATTATTGGACAAAAAACAAAAAGCGAAGAAGAAGAAAAATATTCGATTTTTGCTTTGTAGAAAATCTCTTAAACAAAATTTTAATTGTATGTCTGTATTTTGTACAAATTGCTTTATTTTTACCCAAATTGCATAAAATAAATCATTTAATTAACAACAAAAAAATTAAATTTATTCACTTGAAATGTTAATAATGAAGAAAAAACCTTACCTTCTTGCCCAAAGAGTGACTAACATGCGCTAAAGGTGTAAAAAGGGATAAGCTTTATATGAGAGAAACCCTCTCCACTTAAATATCCTGATTGTGGGCAAATGAATATTATTCCCACAAAAAGCGTCTAGTCCAATATGGGATTTTTATTTTTTTTTTAATTCACCAAATATCTTTAATACCACGCTTGCATTGATAATTTTGTAGCTTCAGCTTGAAAAAACAAAAACCACGTGTTCATCGGGAAATCTGGCAAAGCTTCCATAAGGATTATTGAGAGAAGTAAGGAAAGCTGCATGTCGGAGTAGAGTTCCGCGACCTTTCAGCTTCAAAGTAGGGAATTTTTTCCCTCCCAACGAATTTCGTCTCTTTTCTTATCGAAAACATTCGCATTATTGACCGAACAACAAATCACGAAAACTGATTGCAAAAATCCCTATACTTTGCCCTTGTCACTTTTACATATGAGACATTATGCGCTATTGTGCGCTGACTTTTATTCTGCACATAAGCACATAAGCTTATCGCGACCGAAGGTGAATTGCAAACACTATTGAATTGGATCCGTTTTCCATGAATTTGTTATAATTTTTTACATAGTCAAACGTCAAAAGGAAGTCAAATGAGCAGCTTCGCCACATCAACCCTATGCCAATAGCTATAATTTTGATTCCCTGCTGGAAAGTTAATCCAATAGTTATTTTAAATAACCGGGAATCATAGAAATCATTTAGTTGCTAGTTTCGGAAGAAAAGGCACCCATGCGTGCTAGGAATGCACGATAAGAATCTATAAAATGAAATTTGGGAATTTAAGGAGTAAAACTAACTTAACGGGCAGACAACTCTAGGTCCTAGGTCGGCAAACTTTTTTCGGCCGCAGGTCACAATCAACGAATTGTGAGTATTAAAGAGACTGTTGGGTCACAGATGTTTTTGTATTAAAACAGTCACATAGTTAACACATAGTTAGGCGTTTTAAGACGAATACAAGCTTCGGAATTTTCGTTAGTTAACCTGTTCCCGTTCTTGCTTAATATAAATTTCATTTGTGAAGATACTTGCTTACATTTATGATGTCATAATTATCTTCTCTCCGCAACTACTTCAACTAATCCGGCCATAGCGTTAAACTCTTACGATCAATCATTTCTAAACGGATCAAGACATTTCCGTCTATGTCCTCAGATGTAAAAATTTCTCCATGCTTCTTGAAGCGTTGCTCCCGGTTCACTTTAAATGAGGGATAACCAACTTTCGAATGTATATAGATTGCTTTCATGTTCCCTTTTTTTTTTTTTGAAATATATCACGTTTCGAATAAAATCAACTTTGAAGTAAAACTCTTCCAGTCCTCATAAATATTCAAAATTGTGCAGAGTCGTAGGTTGGAATCATTACAATCGTTCGTTATCTATGCTAAGGGAAAAGACCTTGAACACCATCATTCACCGATTTCATTGAAAAAAAATATTTGCTTTATCATCGAAATACTCTACAAATCTATCAGGAAGTTTGCGTCGACTTAACCATCTTAGTTTAGAATGTAACAAGAAATCTCAATTTGCTCCAAAAAAGCTTGAAAGCGCTTGTGTATTAATCCTGATCGCGCTGTCATCGTGTTTGTGACCTTAACAATCTTTTCCGTCACATCGTTAAGTGCAGGAGACGCATGGTAATCGGACTAAAATGTTGCACCTAGTATTTATTTTGTTTTTTTTTATTCTCAAAATCTTTGTTTCCTGCCTATGTTTTATAATTCATTTTTCTATGTAATACTTTAGACGCGGAACTCAAGTGGGTCACTTGAAATTATCAAAAGGGCAACGCGGTGACCCGAAGATAGGAAGTTGCCGATCCATGCTCTAAGTCATAATCCCAAGTTCATTTAAGAATAAACCCACGATCATTGTACACACGTTCTCTAAGCTTCTCTTGTTAAAAAAATTATTCTATGGCCAAATAAGCTTTGGCAGTCTAGAAGACTTCTACTTAACCCGTGCTAAATTTAACCAATAACCTAAGTAGAAATGAGAACACGTAATACGACAAAAATTAACTGAAACACATTTATATTTTTGCGGATATTGACTACACAGGGGGAACTAACTCTTCTACATATGGAAATATTTCGCCAGTATTAGTGCACAGATTAGGGTACTTCTTACTCCTCGTTGCTCCCCAATAGTCGCATTCGGACGCCGAATCAGTCGGATGTACTTTGTAAATGACTTGACTACCTTTATTTTCAAAATCCAGAGCGCAAGCTACAAAGTATACATAAGGAATAATTGGACCTGTGGGGCTATGTAAAGATAGAAAGAAAAGACATTTTCAAAACTACTCTACTACTGTATTCTCTTACCGTTCAGTTCCGTTTAAGCCCACGGCTGCCGAGCAGCCTATGCGAGACATTCGTTCTTGTATCGTAGTTATAAACGCGTCAGCTTTCGAATTCCTCATGCTACTCATATCTCATTGTTAGTACTTTTCATATTGAAATGTGTTGAAATCTAAACTTACGCAGTTCCGTAACTTTGCACTTCTTTTGTATTGGATATGCCATCCATGTTTTTGGTATATGCCAATAAGGTCAAATCTACTATTTTGAAAAAGGGTAGCTTGTATTTTTGAGGGGACGTGAACTAACAATGCGAAAGGCAGGAAAATGAGATTTTTTCAAGAATTCAAGAATGTCTCTTACCAGTTTTGTGTAAACAAAATTTAAACGTTGCGATCCAATGCAATCCAATTTTGATTCTTTTCCCGCCCTTACCCACGTTTGCATCATAAACTCGAGTTCATTATCCCATATTACTTCGCGCATACGTGCCGCAATGGGAAACGTTTGACCGTTACTAAGAGTATATGTTCCGCTGGATATGTTATTGCGAAGACTATTAAAAAATTCCAGGAAATATCTCTTAATTTTTCTAGTCATTGGCGGAGCTTTTACTTCGACCGTTACCCATCTGCCCTATTTTTACATATTATGTATAGGTTCCATGGACAAATTCATTATTTAAAAAAATACTCACAGCTTGTGCTTGGATCTCTCCGCACATGAAATGTGATTTACCCGCTCTGCAAACTTTCTCTCCGATCTCCGGCTTATTACAAAATTCCCAAGCTTCGAGCATCAAAATTGTGCTGACACCGAAAAAAATAAGAATTCTTTCCATAAGTTTCGACATTGTCACGATAACGATGAGGCTCAGAATGAAATTGAAATGAAAAATGAGTCGTCAATGTCAATGTCAACAGCACTGAAAGGTACGCAATGCCAAATACGTTATGTGTAATAAAAATTTTTATTAGCGCAAGTACTTTTTGCAAATTTGACATTTTTTATCATTGCCTTCTCTGATTTTACATATTCAACTATTTTCACGATTGTTGCTAGAGTGCTTTGATCACGAATATAATCGTAATATATATTGAGTAAAATGCTTAAAGCTATGTGAGTAGGAATTACTTCCTTTTTTTTTTTTTTTGTTGCTACATTTCTTTTTATGCTCGATAACACTAGAGTTACAAGGTGTTTTAAGTAAGCGCGGATGTATGTAACACTCAGAAGGGCTTAAGATCAATTCGCGTTTTTTATTATATCATCATTATCTGAGCTGACTTGATTTAAGCATGTCTGTCTGTCTATCTTTCTGTCCCTATGATTTCGAATGAAAGGAGCTTCAACACGCAAGAAAATTATATTCGGACGTATCCTAAAATAAGACAAAAAAAAAAAGGAAAAATACCGAATTTTCATACTCTATAACTTTGGCTGGGCGCGTCTCTTTTCATAATAAAAGTGGACATTTATATGATGTATGTATGATGTGTGTGCTGTGAACTTAATAATTCGTTTAAGCTATCATTCTTATAATTTGCTACCTATGCGGTAAGTGAATGAAAATATTTAAGTATGTATTCGATCAAGTTATGAATATATTTACATATCCATAACCGGTGACTGTGTGTCTTCATTATAAGTATATAAAATCGAAAATAATGGACAACGTATTAGAATAAATTATATAATTTTTAAAAATGAGCAGTTGTGTGTTGACTGACCTTAGAATGTTACGAGGTATTGATTTTGTTCATTCGAATTGTTTTCCATAGAAGGCTGATCCCCGTATTGTTGTGTACAGTAGCTTCGACGAGTTAGCGATCGTTGACATTAAAGATAGACGGACACAATCGTTTACACAACACGACACTATCTAGATTGAGATCATACGGCAACATATAATCAAAAAAAAAAAAATGAAATTTACTGTGAAACATGTCTGTACACAATTCCATCTTCTCATCATCGTCATCGTTCTCGTCATCGTCATCATCATCGTCATCTGCTGATCTCTTGGCTTTCTATAGTTGAAGTGAATAAAAAATCATTTACGCTTTAATCAATTGTTTTTCAAGCAATTTACGTCTTTCTTGTTCTTGTTCTTGTTATTGTTGTTGTTATTATTATTTTTCGATATTATATTAAGGATATATTTAAGAAGTGTGCATATATACATATATATATATGTATACCTACATGCCTTTGTATACACGCATATATATTTATATATATATATATATATATATATATGTATGTATGTATAGTTATGTGGTTGTTTTAGCCAAACTTATTTTGGGTAGATATTACTGAAGTACACTTATTTATGTTGCCTTAAGCATAAAAATTTATACGCATACACTTTCATTATGAATTTCATTTTCAGTTTTGCTAGCGAAAGACGCGCACATGTCAAAAAATTTTTAAGAAAATTCGATCATCGAAAAATTTTAATTGATCGCCCTGCAGTTATGCTGAAATTGATCTTTAGCATTGTGAGTAAAATCCTTGCCTTATGCTGTCTTCCTACTTGCTTACATGTAACATTGTTGTTGGTGGGCATGTTGTTCTGATGATGCATATGCCTGCTTGTGCATATTGATGCTTGCACTGTGTCCGTTTCATTGGTAGCACAAGTGAGTGATTGTGATTATGATAATAAGTGCTGCTACTGTGTATATTTAGATGTTTTTCTTTTCTTTTTTTTTTCTTTACCGAAACTGTCCCTTCTCTTCTTTATATATAAATATATATATATAGCAGTAAGGATAGGTATGCGTTTAAACATTGATTAGCAGTCATTGTTATGCATCACATCATGCCCGTCTTTATTATTAGTATTTCGTCTCTTTTTTTTTTTTTCTCTTGCTTGCTTACTACATAGTCTGGATCAATAATTTTTGTGATGCCAAAAGACTGAAGGAAAAAGAAAAGCAAAAACATTTTGGCGCTTATGTCCCACCGGAAATTTCAAGTCTCCTCAGCTAAGCTTTAAGGCTTCGGCTTTTTCTTCCACTTCTTTTTCGTTTCTTGTCTTTTAAAGATAATTATTGCCATCATATTTTTGTACGCTTGCGTGGTAATGGCATTTTCAGCCACAAAACATTACACTCTCGTTTATATGTATGGATGTGTGTGTGTGGGTAGGTACGTTTTAAAATGCATAAAACCCAGAAAAAATTTTTTAATCCTCATTAGTTTTAAAAACACGTTCTGTAGCCCTTTTTTGAAACAAGCATGTATACGCGTATGTGTGCTCATACATATGTACATATGATTGCTAGCTAAGCGAGTTAAACATAGGGGTTTCTTTTATATTATTTTATTTTGTTGTTATTGTTGTTGCTGTTGTTGTTGTTGTTTTCTTGCAATTTTGCTTGAATCCCTAACATATTACTTTAGGATCTCAAAATTTGTCAAATATAAGTTTGAATCAATCATGGCTCCTCTTCTTCTTCTTCTTCTTACACTCACTCCTCGTCTTAGTCTTCTTAACCATTGCCAACGTGATACAAAATACTTACGTACGAAAAGAAAACATTCTTTTAACAATCTTGAAGAATTTATGTATCACAAGTTTGGTAGCACAACTTGTTGCTGATGTTTCTGCGCATACGTATATGATGCATACAAGCACATGCACATGTCCAGCCTAATAATTCATTGGCAAATAAATACTCATTTACAGTTGCAAATATAGTTTGTTTTCAGTTCAGTTTCATTATCTTTTCTTTTATTTTTATTCATCAACAAAAACTTGTCATTATTTCTTGCTGTTATTGTTGTTGTTACTTTTCTGTTGTATAGATATCCGTAATTTTTATTTTTTTTTTTTTTGCTTTTTCTTTTTTCATTGGATTGTTTTAAAATTTGGTGGTTTTTTTCACCAAAAAAAAAAAAAAAACAAAAAAAAAAGTTGACATTTGCCTGTCTCATCATAACACAAACTCAACAGGTAGTCCTCAGTCTTCAAAAATCTCTGCAGTAAAAGATGTACACTTATTGTTGTTCTTGTTGTTGCCTTAGTCTCCAGTGATTTAAAAGTTTCGTTAATGTACGTGTTTTTATTTGACTTTCACAGATTTTGGTCGTTGGTTCATTTTTTTGTTTTTTTTTTTGCTTTTTTTTTTTTTTTTTTATTTTGTTTTTCCATTGCCAAGTTCACAAAGGATGATGTATATGATGACGGTTTACAGAAAATGAAGAAATACTTGTACCAACTGGCTCTACTTGGAAGGAAACTATTTAATCCATCAATACCATTTACGGATCTTTTGAAATTTGGAATTTCAAGTTTACCTTTAGATATTCTAAGATCCCACCTTAAAACTTTGAAGCATGAATCTACGGTGAATGAATGTGATGGTAAACAATTGCTGCCTTTTTGATATTTAGTTTCACAAGATGCAAAACTAGACTGCGAATTGAAATAAATAAATTAAATTTGAGTTTTTTTGCTGTTGTGAATTTAAATATGACTGTGTCCGAAGGCACAGAATCTCAACGCACTCAAGTGCGGTAGAGTTTCTAACAAAACTACTAAAGACTTAGATGCTGACATTCTAAGACTTTACTCTTCGAACTTGTTACACTAACTAAATTAATAATAATGTTATCCGTTCCTTAGCTGCCCATTGCCTCGTCTTAAATCCAATTTTAATATGCTTGTAAATTCCACACCCCTCCCGCCCCTTTGCATCCATTTGGTTTTTCTTCTCCTTTTATTACTACCTTTGTAACCGTAGAGAGCAGTAGGCTGATGTTGAAAGCCGCACGATATGCAATTATCCCGCAGAAGAGAGATTATAACTTAAGTATGTGTGTAAATTGACTGAAGGGCTAATGATGCACTGCTGCCTTACTCTATAGTGTTCCTAGTAAGTTGATTCTGTTTTGATTCTTCAATCAGCGAGGTAGGGGTACATGATGTTGATCTTGGAAACTGTAATCGCGCTTCTAAAAGGTTAGACGATTGCGATCGAATGCCTTTGTAAAGGTAGACGATTTAAATTTTAGAGAGTGGAGAAAATAGAATTTTAGAAAAACATGACATCTCTTAATATGAAATTGAAAGAAAGCGTGCAAGCCACATGAAAATACATTAAACACTATATAACTTATACAACGGACAGTGCGGTAGTTAACATGCGACTTGACAAACGAACGCGGAATAGCGTATTTAACTCCAAGAGGTAAATACAGCATAGTGTACCAGAAATTTTTGCAGATTTATATTGTCCATCCGGAGGCCAAAGTTGAATTTGCGATTAAAGATTCGCCTCAAGGCATTGCATTGGGTCCACAAGATCAATGGAATACCTATTCCATAATTCAAATTGATAGAACCGGCTCGGGGAGAGTTGAAAACTAAGGCCTTGGCCTTACTTGTATTAATGAACAGCTTGCTTATTTAACGTCCAAGAGTTGATACTTGCTAAAGCTTCGTTAATCCAAGTTTCGAATATATGCAGTTAGTAGTGGGTATCTTTTAATAGGCAAATAACGCAAATAAAATCCCCTGTAGACAGAGAATTTACGTATTTACCAGCGCTTTGCGTACGGGTTTGATATATTGGATTAGTGAGTTTGATTGTTTCGAAGCAACGTAATTCTATTCAACCCATGGTAGGATCTGAAAAATAGGTCTAAGGTGCTGCAATTCTCATTAACCGTTACACATAAGAGACGAAATGGATTATACAGAAAATAACTAGTAAGAGTCTCAAAGGAACGTGCTGCTTGAGAACTCTAGGCCGGATGTTAAAAGAGGTGAGATAAAGCTCGGGTGGAAATAGCGCTCTTCGTACTCAACCACACTTCTTGTCCGACAAAGTATTTCAGCCACCA